AAAAAAACATAATATGAAAGCTTTTATTGTTTTCGAAACTGCTGTCAAGCTTAGGCAGCCTTAGCATGTCTGTGACGAAGAACTTTCTTGGCAACACGTCTTCTGTATCCAGTGCTGCTTCCTTCAACATGAACTGGAGCGTCACGGATTGGGGTTGGGACGGGTCCTCCACGTGATGGGCATGGGCAGTAAGCGGCATCTCCACCTGGTTGTCCAGCCTCTCCTGGAGCTCCTGGTTGTCCATCTTGGCCAGGTTGTCCGTCATTTCCGTCGGGTCCAGCTGGTCCTGGAGCTCCTTGTTGTCCTGGCCCAGCTGGGCTACCTGGGTTTCCATCGTATCCTGGTGTTCCAGCTGGTCCTTGTGGTCCTGCGGGTCCTGGTCTGCCAACAGAGCGAGTGCCTGGTTGTCCTGGTTGTCCTGGAGCTCCATCTTGTCCAGGCTCTCCTGGGTATCCAGCATCTCCTTGTGGTCCTGGTGGTCCAGGTTGTCCATCTTGTCCAGATCCTCCTGAGTTTCCTGGTTGTCCGTCTTGTCCGGCTGGTCCAGCTGGTCCGTCTGGTCCTTGTGGACCGGGTGCTCCGGCAGGGCAGACAATACATTCTCCTGGGTTTGGACCACCTGGTACAGAAGATCCTGGTTGTCCTGGCTGTCCGTCTTGTCCTGGGTAACCATCCTCTCCACGGTCTCCTGGTTGTCCTGGGGGTCCAGCTGGTCCTGGTGGGCAGTTATTTGGTTGACGTCCACAGTTGCAAGAAGATTGTCTCTTGGCTTTTCTGTTGAATACAGAACGTTCGTGTCTGACGGATACGCCATTGGAATCGATCATGTTGGTCCAAGCGTTATTAGCGAACAACTAAGAAGATTTATAAATCAAAAAAGGCATATCCGGATAAAACAATACCTTGAATTCGTTAAGATCAGACATGGCATCATCATAGAAGTTGTTGATGTCATTGACCAAGTAGCCAACCATTCCGATGGCTCCCAAGATGAAGACAGTCGTTGCGACAGTGGTAAAGCTAACAATTATGTTCGACATCTGAATTATTCAAATTAATTTAATTGAACAGAATAACTTTTGATAGAGAACTTACCTTTACAGATTCGAGACAAACTGTGTGCCATCCGAT